TGTCCAAGGGGAGGAGCCGCAAGGTTGCGAAGCCAGAGGACCCCCTCATCGGCTGCGACAAATGCGGGAGATGGGCCTATGTTTCCGAGAGCGATTTCAAGAACACTCAAGAGGCTGAAAATGCTGACTTCGTCTGCAGAATATGCAAGATGATTGACGAGGTGGACACGACACACAGAAACAAGAGTGAGGAACTGGAAATGACCATATCGGACATGATTAAAAGGTGGGAAGACACCAACAAAGCAGGTGCCGTGGATCAGACCGACATGCTACATGCACTCCTCGACCGGGTGGATAAATTAGAGCATTGTGTCGAAGAGCTTGTGAAGCAAATGTCGTCCAGTCGAACTGACAAGGTAACTCTGGACACAACAATGGAGGTTTCTCCAGAGTACAGTGCGCGACGTGAGCAAGAAAATGAAAAAACGCCTAACCAGATTGACTATCAGCGACATGGGCCTGTGACGTTCGAAAGTGGTACCCCACTTCCTGAGACCTACGACAGCGGAGCAGGACCTCACCTTCAACATGAAAATGGCATGATGCAGGTACAAACAGAGCAGCAAGTGGCAACCACATCAGTCAAGGACTTGCCCAACCAGGTGGAAGACAATAGCAACACTACCACCATAAATGGGACTCGCATAAACCAAAGGCACATCGATGAACACATCCGACCTCCTCAAGGAGTGACACGAGAAGTGATTGTTGCAGGTGATAATAATGTTGCACGGTTTGCACGCACTCTCGTAGATCGAGTAGGGGACCATCGCCGAATAGAAATCCTATATAACAGAGGTGGAACAATCGCAGATGTGCACCACCTAATATACGAATATGAAAAGAAAGCAAGGAAAGTACCCCGAATGTATATATTGCATGTGGGTGTATATGACATCTTGCACGGCGAACAGCCTGCGGCGATTGTAGAGCAACTGAGGCTGAAATGGACAAATCACAAAGACGCATTGGCCATATGCTCAATACCAGAGATTGAGGGCAGAGGCAAAGGAATTCAAGCAGCAACCATGCTGCTGAATGCCCAACTAAAGAAGCTCTGTAAGGACCTCAAGGCGCGATTTATAGACCTGAGTCGAGATCTCAAAGCTGAGGATGCAATGGAGAGAGGCAGGCTACACTATAAGGAAGATGGGGTGCGAAACGTGGTCAACAGGCTAGGAGCCGTGGACAGCCTTTCTTTAGGCATACAATGGCGAAGAGATTCACCAACCTCGAAGATCGGTCAGCAGAGGAGTCCACTGGTAGAGCACAAAAACGAACCAGTGCAGGGACGGAGTACAACAACAATGTATGGCAAACCTCAAGCTTATCGCCCAGCCGAGGAGCACCGCATGATGCATCAAGCAATGGGGTGCCTGTATGCACAACACACGGACCACCCTGCGAACAGATGGCACGCCGGCAAGACCGAAGTGCTGACTGGAAAGCCTTGCGATCACTATCCGGTCGAAGAGCAACGCTCGGACTACCAGAGAAGTGTTCCGCCATTGGGCCCAGTTCGCGAATCGGGGAGAGGGACACCGCGACCCCAAGACATAGTACATTGCTTAGACTTGAACAGGCAACTTCCACCATCGCAAAACAGTCATGTAGCACTTGGGCCGGCTCCACAAATGGACCCTCTACAGCCTCAGAGGCAAACACTGTCAAACGGGGGACTCCCACGGTACTACCCCCAATCCTGGACACCCCCAACGTCAACACGTCTCTCCCAAATGTATACACCGGCGCTGCCTCAACCCCAAGACCTGCGTGCAATCGTGGCCGAGATGGTGAGCCAACAACTCGGTTACCACTACCAGCGGCACAGGATATAGGGCCGCTTTCGGGGAGGGGGGTCGGAGATAAGAGGGTGAGAAACAAGAGTAGGTGTGGCAAAAAAAGACGGAGACGACGTAGACGCAGCAGACGACTGACAGATGTGGTAGGATTTCTGAACCTCCAAGGAGCGAGACGTGAACACAAATGGGAAGAGCTATATAGGGAGTTGGAGGCGGAAGGAATGACGCTTTTTGGAGTGGCAGAGACGCACCTATATGATATTGAAGAAGCTCCAACCGATGCAAATTGGTGTTGGGCTGGACGCAATCGTGTGGAGGGACAGCGTCGAGGTGGGGGAGTTGGCGTGGTGTGGCGCAGTACATCAGTATGGTGCAAGGAGCCACGAGACTGTTGGGACCATATTTGGGTAACGGGAGAGATCATCGGGATTCCTGTTGCCGTCTGTATAGTATACGTGTCGGTGGGAGCTGCGCGCAGAGAGGAGAATCAAAGTTTAATGAGCTGTGTGGAAACCGAAGTCAAGGACTTGGCTGCTACTAAAGACATTCTCATCATGGGGGATTTTAATGGACACCTGCATGAACTGGACGGATGGGAAGACGAAAATGGGCGAGCGATGCTGCGGATGGCCGAAGATAACGCCTTGGAGATACTAAATCTCAGGGCCTCATGTGAGGGTCAATATACATGGAATGCCCGGGAGAGCAAAACGTGCATTGATTACGCCTTAGTCTCACAGAATTTGGCCCGCTATCTGGTTCACACACACATTGATGAAGCTGGTGAACACAGTATTGGGAGTGATCACAACCGGATACGGTTAGAATTCTCCAAAGCTACACCAAAAATAATAAGAGAAAAGCACTCTCCGACAGGTCGTTCCCGGCTATCTCCATCGGCAATGGAGAAGGTGGTGGAGGAGTTCGAAAACAGCACCAAGAGAAAGAGCGCGGATGGATACGCAGAATATGTGGCAGAATTAAAGCGCCTCATCCGACAACATTCTACAAAGGAACGAGGTGGGCGACGACTAAGAAAGCGTTGGTGGGACGCGGAAGTTCAAGCCGCCATCAGATTAAGACAGGAGCTAAACAGGGAGCATCGCATGGTTCTCCATGGCGGCCCGGCAGACGCTGTCGCAATAAGGTGGCAAAAGTACAGGTTGCAGAAGCAGGCCGCAAAACAGCTTGTGCAGGACAAAATGGCCCAGGCTGATGTAGCTACAATGAGAGACATCAGTTCAAGTGGTCGAGACGCACCCAGAAAGTTCTGGCGATATATGGGAACTCTCAATGGAAGAGACCAGTGCCCAGCAATCCTGGACGAAGACACAGGGCTGCCCACAGAGAGACTTGGGCAATGCCTTACAGACCATCTCGTTGAAATTTTCTCGCCTCCAGGAGAGACACCACTACAAAATCTCTGCCCCAAGCAAGGCGCAGACTGTGCACCGGATTGCGATAATGTAACAATTGGTAGGGTATCAGTTATACGCGCACTAGCGCATATTAAGAACAACACCGCCCAGGGATTAGATAACATTCCGGCAAGGGTACTCAAAGCACTGGGCAAGGATTCCAGGGACCAACTCGCAGCACTTTTTAATGATATTGCAGCTGGGAAAGAAGAGATTCCTCGAGACTGGAGATGCGGCAGGGTTGTCATGATTCCTAAAAAAGGATGTGACCGTCAGTACCTTCGACAGTACAGACCCCTGACCGTGACAAGTGCGGTGTATAGGGTATTCGCCCACATCATGAAAAAGCGCATGACCGCATGGGCAGAGGAGGAGGGTATACTGACAGAAATCCAAGGAGGCTTCCGTCGGGGACGCCGATTAGAGGACCATCTTTTTACCTTAACACAATGTATTGAGGTTGCACGGAAAGAGGAGAGGAGCCTAATATGTTGTTTTCTTGACATCGCAAAGGCCTATGATAGTGTTTCCCATGCCCAGCTTATTGTTAGCCTACAACAGCTTGACATGCCGCCGGAGTGGACAACACTCATCTCCCGCTTATATCATGGCAACACGGTTATGACCCACCTTGATGATGCTCACTCTGATGAGGTGCTGGTGACGAGGGGCTTACGCCAAGGGTGCCCACTTTCTCCCCTATTGTATATGTTATATGTATCCACCCTAGAGAAGCAACTTATACAATCAGGACTGGGCTTTTCACTAGCACATTTGGAGCATGGTGATCGAGTTGACTGGGTTCTACCGGGATTGACGTACGCGGACGATGTGGTACTGACCGCAGAATCAGTGTTGGAAATGCAAAAACTTCTTGACATATGCTCCAAGGAGGCTATGGGACTTCGTTTAAATTTTAATACCAGCAAGTCAGCGGCGGTAGTGTTTTCGGGCTCCCTCGAGACAACTCTCGATAGCCTTCGTCTCGGAGGGTCCGATGTACCAATTCTTAATTTTTACAAGTACTTGGGCATCACAATGTCGAACGACACAGACTACCTTCAAGGCCATCACACCCATCTCCGCCAAGCAGCCCTACGAGGAGCCAGCATTCTCCGTAAGCGAAGCCTCTGGAGTTGCAACAGGTTCATCGTTTCGCGGGAATTGTGGAAAGCAGTAATGGTACCCGGACTAACATTTGCAAATGCAGTGGTATGTGTCCCAGGAGATGTCCGCGCCAATATGGAGCGTAGGCAGAGAGACGTGGGACGCCAGGCACTGGGCTGCCATGGAGCGGTCGCCAACGAGGCAGTGCAGGGTGACCTGGGCTGGTCCTCCTTTGAGGCTCGGGAGGCTTCAAGCAAGATTGCGTATGACGGACGCCTTCGACTTATGGATAGATGCCGTTGGGCGAAGAGACTGTTTATATACACCAACTTGACTGGGCTGCGGACCCGCTGGCAGAAGCGCCTCTATCAGCTTCAACACAAGTACGGCTTCTTCTCCGAGCCTCAGTTGATGCGTCGACAGAGACTGAGTGGACGTCGGAAGTTAGGCAGAGAGTCCGAGACTGCGAGACCAAACAATGGCTCCAACAAGCCCGAACGAAATCGACGCTGGAGGTGTACCTCGCCAACAAAATAACCATCGCCTCGGAAGTCCGGCTGTATGACAACAGCCTGGGTAGCCGCTTCTTGTTCGAGGCACGTGCTGGGGCACTGCGGACGCTGTGTTATAGGCGTCGTTTCGACACCACTGTCACGTCAACAATGTGTAGGGTGTGTGGGGTAAATGACGAAACGGTGGAGCATATTGTGCTAGACTGCGCGAGACTCAAGCCGTCCCGGTCACAGGACAATGGCCCAAGGCGTCCGAGACCCTTAGCGCTCGCTGAAGCGTTGGGCTTCACTGACATAGAAATTGGACAATCCACAGAAGTCTGCCCAGCTACGGGGCTGAAGGTAGCCTCCAACGACACAAAAAGGCTTGTTGCAGACACAAAAAGGAGACTGGAGGACTGGTGGCAGAAGATCCACCTCAGGGAGCATTAAGACACCTACGCTCCCAGGCTTGGGCACAAACCTTGTTTGAGTCCTCCCGATTGAAAGGGAAATAGCCGCAGCATCATCATCATCATCATCAATCTCCGTGTCTTTTTACCTTCACATTTAAAAAATATATTGCAAGATTTACTATCGATAAATGAATGGTTTATGTACTGGGTCAGGTTCATAAATCTAAAACAAATAATTAGACAAGCGTAGCGTGATATAATGTGCTCATTATTCGATATGATTGAAATCAATAAACAATAAAGACGAAGAGGAAAAGAATACACCCGAGTTCACTTCATGCCTAGAGTCACTAAATGAGCTGCGCTTAGAGTATCAGACCTCCGTTCCTCAACATTGTTTTGGGCGCCGCCATTTTGGGTCCTGTGCAGAGCAAACGCAACTGCCGATCGTCATGATTCAAAAGTGCGACTTCCTCAGCATTAGATCCGGTGTCAGGAAGCTGATGCAATATTGCTTTGCTCTGTCGCGGAGTGTTTAAATATTTGTGGCGGACGGAAAAGCGTTTTCTGTGATTTTAGATAAAGCTTCAGATAACTGGCAACCGTGATTTTAAGTCACAATATGGCCAAGTGTCGCTACTCTGAAGCGTAGCTAATTTAGTGGCACTAGCGGGAACAATGAGGAAGAAGCAGGCGTCAAAAGGTAGTGGTTTGTGGAACCCACGGGGCTTACGTCATGGCGCCTTCATGTATTACAAGCTCCTTGAACAAGGGCATGAATAGTGTCATTAAATGAGCTACGTTTCAGAGTAACGACACTTGGGGATATTGTGACTTAAAACCAAGGTTGCCAGTTATCTGAAGCTTTGTCTAAAATCACAAAAACGCTTTTCCGTCCTCCACAAATGTTTAAACAGTCCGCGACAGAGCAAAGCAATATTGCATCAGCTTCCTGACACCGGATCTAATGCTGAGGAAGTCGCACTTTTGAATCATGACAATCGGCAGTTGCGTTTGCTCTGCACAAGACCCATAATGGCGGCCTTCACAACACTGTCGGGGAAGAGAGTGCTGATACTCTAAACGCAGCTCATTTATTGGCTCTAGTTCCCGCGAAACTCCTTTTCCCTGACTGAAACTGAAAATAAATATGAACAATACACCATTATTATAGCTTATTTAGTTATAACCAACTACACATAATGAGAGGAGGAAGGGGCTGGGTAGGAGAAACGCGGGTTTTATGTGCGACCGTTCTAACCGTCTCAAAAGAGAGAACGCGCGAGCTTTCGCTGGTTTAAAAAAGGCATCCAAAGAAAAGAGGCGGCACGCTGTGTTCTTTGTGTTTATGCGTCTAATTGCAAATTGTTGTGTGTATGTTTATACAGCCGGAAGTTAGTCCGCCTCATTGGGCGTCTAGTGTCTCAGCTGTAGATGAGCAATTTAGCCAGTGCCGCGCAACCGAAAACCTGGGGTCTTTAACGTGCACCACGCAGTAGGGATACACGACCGCACGCCGGTACGATGCTCTTCCATATCAAAACGGGCAGGGGCGGGGAGGGTTCTGCAGTGGTCCGAGCTGGTGTGCGCTAGATCATGCACTCGGTCACCAACCCCCCCCCCCTCCCCCCCCCCCCCCCTTGTGCGTCTAATTTATATACAGGTATAAGTATTTGAAGATCGACGATGGACGTCGATCGTCTCGAGGTAATGTAACGTAATAACATTATATAAATAATAAGTTTGTTGAAGGACTGAACGACTCAATTTTTCAATTCTTGGATTGTAATATGGCGGTAGCCTATTGTACTTACTGTTGATGAAGAGCAATATGAGGTGACGAGGTAATGATTAAATGATGAGGCTCTATAAGGACGACGACATTAGTGGGTGTCGAACCACAACGTTCAGAGCCTGACTTGTTTCAAGTATCGTGTACCCGAAGACTTTCTTCACCCGTAACAGAATATGGTAGAATCAATGAGGATGCTGCTTTACAACTGTACGTGGGACCGGAAAACTGCACTGTGCAGAAGCGCGGCTTATTCGTTAATATGAGGGACGGATCTCTAGCAGCATTCCCTGATTGACTACTTGAAACAAATGGCCTCGTTGACATAAAGTGTCCCCGTTCCAAAAGATTCTTGAAGCATACTTAAACCGCAAAGGAGTATGAGGCGAAAAATAAGAAAAAGGAGCCTGGTGTGAAAGGTCCAAATCACCACCATAGCTTCTACTACCAAATACAAAGGCAGTTACACAATACACAAGGAGAGTTTTGTGATTTAGTTATATTTACACTCAAGGGCATTGATATTCAACGTATTCAGAGGGATGACACCTTCTGGTCAACTAATATAGAGCCTTTTCTACTCAAGTTTTACATGGAAGGCCCAACTTCCGCTGAAATTACTCATGATCTGGGAATCTCTCGATCTTCGTTCGTAGGATCATCAGATCAAGGGGTGTGGCTCTTCGTCCGCCGAATATTGCTTCGGTGGGTGTTTTTACCGTGTAATATGAGACCGTCGCGTGCTGCTGGAACAAGAACCTGGCGATTCTTCACTGAACTGCTTCTTCCGTAAGCCTCAAAAGGGCTTTTTTTCGTTTCGCACACCATCTGTTCTGCTTGCCCGTTAGTTGCAGGATGGTATGGTGCACTAGTGTGATGCCTGGTGCCGTTTTTTTTTTTTTTTCTTCAAAAACTTGTTTATTTTATTTGAAGCAAGATTTGGTGCGTTACTAGAGAAAAGTATTTTCGGTAGGGCAAAAGTGGGTAAAAGAGATCGTAGAACGTCAATGACGTGTTTGGACGTCGTGGCAGGCATCGTGTAAACTTCCAGCCACTTAGAGTACGCATCGACCATGACTCCGCAGATGCGGATACGTTTCGCCACCCACCGACTGAATAGTGGATCGTTTTCAGTTACTGTTCATGATGGCGTTGGACTCAACGAAGACTTCGAGTCTTTCCAGAAAGTTTCTGGGAACTATATCGTAACAACCTTTACAACATCTTCCGGACCCCGTGAAACACAATAGTTCGTGACGTTATTTTAGTCGTCATTAAAATGGTGAGGTAAGTACTGTAAATCCCGAAGCAGTTTAGTTGACGTCCGCTTCCACTGGCGTCTTGGAAGATTGAGTCTACTGAGCGTGCATTCCTTCAGAGGAAATTTTTATCGATAGAATATTGACACGTCAATCAACATTTGATTCCTTCTTGGTAAGATTTATTGCGAAAGCCCGTTACACCCGCCGAACCGCATCTCCCTATATCAGAGAACAATTTATACCCAGCCTGACATTCTCGCATACATCCGTTAACTGGGCCACGCTACTTGAGCTAGCTGAGCACAGCTGGCAGCGGCGCGAGCAAGGCCACGAGGGGAACGTGATGGTGCTCGAGCCATCCCACTGTGAACCAAGAGAAGGGCGGCTATGGCGGCTCAATTTGGCGCGTGTGTAAAGCGTGTTAACCGCGTTCGCAACCGCTTCGCTAACGCGGATTCGCTTCCAGTGTGAATGAGCGGTTACAGAGGTATTGGCGCGAAAGCGTGAATTTGAATAGTGTCTTCTATGTGCGAGCTCTTGAGCAAATTAGAGCGCGCATGAAGGTACACTTCGTTTCAGCTTAACTCTTGGCGCAGCCGATGCTACAAGCACGAGCATGTGGCCCTTAACAGTGCTTGCACTGTACGAGCGCGCGTGTTTGGCAGGGGCGCTGAAAGCCCGGAGCTCGGGCTTGTAGCATCGGCTGCATCTGGACTTAAACTGAAACGAAGAATAGTGCAAACAAGGCAATCTACTAAACTATGACCCAAGCGCCTGTGCATTTGTCTGGACTGTAGACATTTGTGAAATAATAGTATAAACAGGCAGCGTGGGCACTGATCCCAAGATTTGTGGTTATACAAGAAAAAAATCCTCGAAGAAGAAGAGGTTTCTGGATTAGCACGTTTGTTCCGAGCTCGCGACGAAGCCGCTCTTATCCATTTGCATCGGGTCACCGGCTGCGATTTAACGCCAGAACGTCCCCTCAGGCCAAGGCCATTACTGGGAGGTTTGTACTCTCCAGTTGAGTAATCTAGCCAGCACATCTCGACGTACGAGAGACGAAGGTCTGCGAGGGCAGAGCATTGCTTCGAGAAAAGACATCGCGACTTCGTCACCCAAGACAGCCCCCGCTCAGCTGAAGATAGACAAGGTCATTGCAATTCGCCAAGCCGCCGAAGCCTTACATACCCCACACCTCAGAGTAGCAACGTCTGCAGGAGGATTTCAACAAAATCATATCCACAAAAGTATTCGAAGGATAAAAAAAAAAATTATTTAGAATAAGAACTGTTTGAAAAGAAGAAGACAGGAGACCAACAGAGAGAAGGGACAGCCCTACGAGAGTCTTTAAAGAAAAATATATAAATCATTATCTCAATGACGGCGAATTTAGACGGACCACGGGCAAACCGTCCTCGAGAGGCAGCAGCAGCTCCTTCCGGCAGCCTGAAGGCTACCAGCAGTGTGGCACATCCAGAGCCCAAGACACCCCGTCGTGTCTCCGTGTTTGCACCACATGTTGCCGCCCCGGCGACAGACAAGCTGACCACAGCATCCACCCGAAAAAGTCGTGGCGGTCCCAGTGCCTCTCTTCAAACGCCGTCGGCGCAGGCGGCCGGTCAAGTTTTTAAGGCTGCTTTGAAGAGCATCCCCAAGTAGGTGTTTACGAGTAATGGGCCCATTCTTCGTGAAATACTGAGTGGATCGAGGAGACCACAGGGGGGGAGTGCGCTATACTCCGTTCCCAACGCGAAGCGCAAGTTCGTCTGCTTCTTGCGTAGGGGGTCGCGGTGACGTCAGAACACCGAGCTCTGATTGGCTCGATTGGAAGGATAGT